ACTCGTTTAGGCCGCTAAACGTATGCATTGCTCTTAATTTATCTGCTTCCTATTCTTTAAAAAATTGGCATGTAGTAAGCATTAGTGCGAGTATCTCAGAGTTTGTCTACACTCTCATAAACATATCTGATATGCCTTTCTCGCCCCAAACTTAGGCGTTAGCTTTTGTACTTCTTAATTCATTAAATAAGATTAATCTTCATAACTCTCTTTTTTCGTATTCCTTTAGGATAGCCTAACCGGCCTACCCAAAGGTTATGGGTTCTGTGAATATGTCGATCCTTTGCTCACGGACCACGCCTGTGCCGGCCTAAATAATATGCAACTAGGCGATGGTCGGCTTATCGTTCAGCGGGCTAGCCAGGTCATCAGCGGCTGTGGTGGGCTTACAGGCTCAGCTCTTGCTGCCGCTACCGTCGCCGCGGCTGCGGCAGCCGCTGTTGCGGCCTCTGGAAGTGGCCTTGGGGGGGGTGGCGGGGGTTCGAGTCTACGTAATTCCTGTGGGAGTGTAGGGGGCATCGATCTTTCCAGCCTGCTGGCAACTGGTGCTACTCCTGCCGTGGCCGCTGCGGCAATGGCCGCAGCCGGAGGCCTCCCGCCAGCAACAGGAGGAACTGTTGCAACCATTGCATCCCTTTCTGCTTCTTCTTCCGCTGCGGCTGTGGTAGCCGCCACCTCCAGTCTCGGTGTGACCGGCATTCCTTCCCTAACTAGTCTAACGCTTCCAACACCGAATGGTTCACTTTTAGCTAAACCTGGTCTTGGTGAATCGCTTGGACTCTCCGATACAGATTTGCTGGCTGCTGCCGGCCCTGGTCAACCCACGGAAGTACTCTGTCTGCTCAATCTGATTCAGCCGGAGGACATTGCAAGTGATGAGGACTTTGAGGATGTAATGGAAGATGTTCGAATAGAATGTCAGCGTCACGGTGAAGTCCGTAGTTTGCAAATGCCTCGGCCAATACCTGGTGTAGATGTGCCAGGCGTTGGAAAGATATTTGTCGAGTTCGCAAGCATAAAACAGTCACAACTGGCCATGCTGGCACTGTCGGGTCGCAAGTTCAACAATCGGATAGTCGTCACGTCTTTTTACGACCCGGAAAAATACCATAGACGGGAGTTTTGATTTCCCTTCCTCCATCCTCTGTATGCGCCCTGTTATCGTGTATCCAGGGTATCAGTGCGTCGGCCATTAGTGTTTTCCTTGTACAGAACTTACTGCCAATCAGGCCTCGACACTGAAACTAAGGCTTGCTTATGCACCAAATTCTTTTCTACCCTATCTGTCAGTTCCTATACGCACATTCAATCAGCCTTATCTTTCTATTATCGCGATCAACAACATCCTTATTCTACCGTCTTATGCTCTCAGCCAAACTTTCATGGCGCCATTTTGTTTACAAGCTACTGTCTTAGTGACGCCTTTTTCACATGTGAGATCCCTTCTGATTTCTTATCTGACGCAGTTAATATAATTACTTCTCCGAATTTTGCAGCCATTATTATCAAAATACTTCTTCGAAATTAACTTGGTCATCTATCAGCCAAATTCACTTGCTATACTTTATCTTAACCAACTTTTTTCTTCATAGAAAATAGTTATATCACATCCACATTCTCCATGTCGCTTCTTTGTTTTACGGGCTACTTTGTTTATCTAATTTTTAGCCTTATTTTTCCAACTCCCTGACATCTTTCCTTTCTTCATATTCTTCTAATAAATTTTACTGTCATGTTCATTTAGTGCTGTACAGCTTCAAATTTGCTCCGCCTAGTTTTTCACTTTTCCAATATCCTCTATACATACATCTATACGTTTATGAAGAGGCCGCCACCATTATGCTTTAGTAACTATCGTTTCGTACCGCTCTCTGTATAATACTCATCAAACCTCCCTTCCTGGCGCTCGCATTTTGTTTCTCTTTTTTCTTGCCCACATTTCCTTTTGCCACTAGGTCTCTCGCCCTACTCTGGTCCCAATTTATTGACCGAATAAACACTCACCTGCATTGATCTTTGTCCAGGTTGTCCGTAACTTCTTGCTACGTCCTTCGATATTAAAAGTGAAAATACACAACCCACTGCGAATATTTGCTGCCTATTTCTCTGTTATCCTCAAATACTTAAAAAGATTTTCCCTGGTAGCGCCATTCCAGTAGTGAGCTTTTCATCATTTGTCCACCGAGTCATTGTATAATGGAACAGCTTAATCAACAGTTAAGCTCCTTTTCATAATCTTACTTGGACCTGCCTCCCAATTTATTTTCTCGGCAGTCTGAGCAGTCGGCTCCTGACTACGTCATCAGCCCAAAAGCTATGCTTTTTATCGTCACGCTCGAGTACTCATATTCCTGAGTAGTCAAAACGCGTAAGCTGAGCGGGAAATTTTGCTA